GCACATGCAAAGGTTGCAGGTTTGATCCCCAGTATGGGGTGTGCAGGAGGCAGCCGATCAATGATTCTCTCTCAGCATTGATGTTTGTGTCTCTCTCTCCCTCTCCTTTCCTTTCTCTGAAATCGATAAAAATGTTTTAAAATTTAAAAAGACGAATAAATGTAGACTTACTATATAGCCCGAAAATCCCACTTGTACATATATACTCAGGTTAGTAGGAAAAACTTAGTCTTTCTCCTCTATTTCTCCCTTACTCTCACACAACTACCCCACTCATAGTACTTTCAACACCAGAACTGTAAAGGTTTTCTCATACCAAACAATTCTATAACACTGGTCGAGTGTCCTTTAATTTAACTTCAAACTGACACTAGCTACTTGGGCATAGTATCAGATTCCAAAGGTTAAGGGCTCAGTCCCTCAAGACTTCAGATGCCAATCACAAGCCCAGGTGGTCACCTGTGCTTCTGGCCAATAGGCTATAAATCAGAGGTTCCCATGACCCCTGGCTGGGTTTAAGTTATTTGCTAGAGCAGCTCACAGAACTTGGGGAAGCAGTTTACTAACATTTACAAGTTTATTATAAAAAGGATATGATGGCCCTAGCGAGTTTGGCTCGTGGATAAAGCATTGGCCTACAGACCAAAGGGTCCTTGGTTTGATTCCGGTTAAAGGCACGTACCTTGGTTGCAAGCTTCTCCCCAGCCTGATCCCTAACAAGGCTCCTTCAGGAGGCAACCAATTGATGTGTTTCTCTCACATCGATGTTTCTGTCTTTCCCTCTCTCTTGAACTCTCCCTATAAATCAATGGGAAAATATCCTCGGGTGAAGATTAACAACAACAACAAAAATAAAAAATAAAATTAACAAAATGGATATGATAAAGGATACAGAGGAAAATCCAAATGGAATACATGGGGTTTATGAGAGAAAGTGCGGGGCTTCCATGCCCTCTCTCAGTGAGACATTCTCCCAGCCCTAACATATGTTCACCACCCAGAAGCTCCCCAAACCCTGTACTTTTGGGACTTTTATGGAGGCTGCACCACATATAGGCATGATCCATCATACATTCCATTTCCAGGCCCTCTCCCCTTCCTGGAGATTGGGGTTGGGGCTGATGATTCCAAGCCTCTAATCATGGCTTGCTCTTTCTGGTGACCATTCCTCACTCAGGAGCCCACCAAGCACCACCGAGTAAAACAAAACATATTCCCATCACCCAGAGCATTCCCAGGTATTTAGGAGCTCTGTGCTAAGAACTGGGGAGATCTGGTGGGGAAATTAACAGTGGTATATCCATACAATGGAATATTATTTCATAATTTAAAAATTAAAAAGAGCCTGGCTGGCATGGCTCGGTTGTTGAGCATAAACCTATGAACCAGGAGGTCAAGGTTCGATTGCCAGTCAGGGCACATTCCGGGTTGCAGGCTTGATCCCCAATAGGGGGTATGTAGGAGGAAGCCAATCAATAAGTCTCTCCCATCGTTGATGTTTCTATCTCTCTCTCCCTCTCCCTTTCTCCCTCAAATCAATAAAAATACATTATTTAGAAAAATAAAAATAATAAAAGGCCCTGGCCAGTGTATCTCAGTTGGTTTGGGCATCATCCATGCAACTAAAGATTGCTGATTCGATTCCCAGTCAGGGCACATACCCAAGTTCCCGGTTCAATCCCCAGTAGGGAGCATGCAGCAGGCAGCCAATGGGTGTTTCTTCTATCAATGTTTCTCTCTCTCTCCCTTTCTCTTCCTCTTTCTCTCTAAAAAAATCAATAAAATATATTTTTAAATGACATAATCATACATACCACATGAATAAAACTTGAAGACATACGCTAAGTGAAAGAAAACAGGCACCAATGCAACATGTGCTATGATTCCATTTATATATAAAATGTCCAAAATAGGCAAGTCTATAAAGACAAAGTCAATCAGTGCTTGCCAAAGCCTGGAAGGGGGGAAGTGGAGAACTAATGATGGGCAGTGGCTTTCTCTTGCAGCTAATGGAGCAATTCTAAAATTGATTGTGATGATGACTGCACAACTATGAATAGACCAAAGACCATTGAATTGTACGCCTTAAATGAATAAATTGTGTGACATGTGAATTCTATTACTACAAAGCTGTTCAAAAAAACTGGGAGGTGGACACATTTGCGATCTTGCTCCCCAGCATATGTTGTTAATTCAGCTCAAATAAAATATTATAAAATGTCTCCACAATAAATAACTGAATGAAAATAAAAAACTGGGAAGCCATTCCTAAAGGTGGTTTCGAATTTTACAGTGGACTTGAGAGAGGCCCACATGGTATCCCCTCCCCTGGCTTTATGGGGGGTCTCTCCCTGTGCCCTGTGAGGAGGGGGGTCCTCCTATTGACAGCCTGGTCAGGAACCCTAAAATCCAGGCCTGCTTCGTGCATTTTCTGGCTAGGACAACTTTGGGGAACGGTTTTAACTGCTCTGGCCCTGTCTTGTCATCTATAAAATGAAAACACCACTAATTTTGATCCATAGTTTTGTTACCAGATTCAAACCAGAAAACATATGTTAATAATTAAAAGTTCCCTGGCCAGTGTGGCTCAGTTGGTTGGACCATTGTCCCCATACACCGAAAGGTTGCAGGTTTGATTTCTGATCAGGGCACATACCAAAGTTGGGGGTTTAATCGATGATTGATGTTCTCACATTAATGTTTCTCTCTCTCTCTTTCTCTCTCTCTCTCTCGCTTTCTCTCTAAAATCAATAAACATATCCCTAGGTGAAGATAAAAAAAATGTTCAAAGGACCAAATGGAAATTTTGGAGTTTAAAAGTAGGATGATGAAAATTAAAAACTCACTAGAGGGACTCAAAAGCAGATCTGAACTAGCAAAAAAAAAAAATGTTGGCAAATTTGATAAGTGAATAACAGTATCCAATCTGAAAAGAAGAAGGAAGAGAAATGAACAGAACATCAAAGACCTGCCGGACACTATCAATAGAACAACATACACATAATGAAAGTACTAGAAGGAAAAGAGAGGAAAGGGCAGAAGTAAGATCAATTTGGGGGGTACTGGCATCTCAACAGTGTTGTCTGCTCACCACACACATGGATATCTTTCCACTGATTTAGGACTTTTTCCATTTCTTTCTACAATGTTCTGTATACATCAAACAGGTGGATTTTGTGATATGTAAATTATACTTTGATAAAGCAAGATGAGAAACAAGACTAAAGGGAAGGTTCTTGGGTACTTTCACTGGGTCCCACGATCTGGATCATTACTCAGTCAGACGGAGAGATGGACATTGTGTTTTTTCTCTTCCAGGCCTTGAAGGTTCTTAATACTAACCACAAAGCCCTAGGCATCTCTCCTGGGGTTTATCTATTTACTTCCTGCATCACCCTCATGAATGTTCATCATTTCCTATCAAGCTAAGAGAACTGGGCACACCTCCTCCCTTGTTGTTCCAAGCCTGCCTCCTCCAGCCCCAGCTTACTTGCTCTGCTCCTGAGTGCACCCCGGGTGGGCCTGGGTGGGGTGCGATGGCCTCCTCCCCTGGGCTATGAATACATGTGTTAGATACTGCTGTCCATCTGGTCTGTGCAGTGGTGGGTGCTGTGCATGGGGTCATCTTATACTATGTAAGGTGTGGTGTCCCTCCCTCACCAATGGTGTGACAAGGAGGTGATCAGAACAACATGGCTATTTCCTTCACAATCCTACCAGGACTATGGAAAAAGTGGGGTCAGTCCTGTCCAGGTAGGTAGCTCAGTAGGTAGAGCATCTTCCCTATACCCCAAGGGCACATACAAGACTCAACCAATGAATGCATAAATAAGTGGAACAACAGATCCACACCTCTCTCTCTCTCTCTCTCTCTCTCTCTTTGTCTCTCTCTCTCTCTCTCCCTCTCTCTCTCTCTCTCTCAAAATCAATAAATAAAATTTTATTTAAAAAAATTAGTGGGGTCAATGGTTCACTTGTTTGGCAACCTGCAGACCTCTACCCTCCTCCTAGAAGTCTGTTATGACTCATTGTTTCTGCTCCCAGACCCCAGATTGAAAAGAGAAAAAGGAAAAAACTGACTTCTCTCTCCTTTCTCTCTCTCCTCCCCTCTGCCTCTGCATAGGTTGAGTGTCGACCTATGAACCAGGAGCGAGAATCATTAATCAGGCTGTCTCCTGTATGCCCCCCAGTGGGGGTCAAGCCTAAAACCAGGGCATGTGCCCTGAACCGGAATCCGACCATGACCTTCTTGTTCATAGGTCCATGCTCAACCACTGAGCCACATCCACCAGGCGTGAGCTGTAATATTAACACAGTGCCCATCATTCTGGTAAGAATTTGACCTCAAAGAATCTCACACAGTCCTAGTGGAAGTACTAACAGTTCACCATCCTATATAATAAAAGCCCAATATGCTAAGTGTCCAATCGTCCAGTCAACCAATCAAAACATAATATGCAAATGATATGCATACAATCACTATGATGTGCACTGACCACCAGGGGGCAGATGCTCTGACTGGTAGGTTAGCTTGCTGCTGGGGTCTGGCCCATGGGGACTGAGAGTTGAGACTTGTGACAATGGGGCGCTGTGCCAGGAATCCCTGATGATGGTCTAATCCGGTAAAATGAGAAGGGCCGGTCAGGTTGAATGGGTGGAAGGTGATAGCATCTGTGTCAGTGCTGTACCACTCTCCCCAAGGCCAAAGGTGAGGCCCGCCATCCCCCTTCAATCTCTCTGCGCTCCTAACAGGGGCCAAGATGGCACTTCTTGCCATGAAGGGCTGCACCTCCAAAAGGATACCCTCCATAACGTTGGTCCAGCACTCCTCACTGCCTGGCATAATTGTGGTCTCCTACAGCAGCTACCGGTAAAATGAGAAGGGGCAGTCAGGTTGAATGGGAGGAAGGTGATAGCATCTGTGTCAGTGCTGTACCACTCTCCCCAAGGCCAAAGGTGAGGCCCGCCATCCCCCTTCAATCTCTCTGCGCTCCTAACAGGGGCCAAGATGGCACTTCTTGCCATGAAGGGCTGCACCTCCAAAAGGATACCCTCCATAACGTTGGTCCAGCACTCCTCACTGCCTGGCATAATTGTGGTCTCCTACAGCAGCTACTGTGAGCACTCCTTCTGCAACAGCAGAGAGAACATCCCTGAGATATGGAATCCAGAGGTGATCCCAGGTACCTTGGGAGGGGAGAGGGAAAGGTGGTCAACCCGGAAGGCAGTGTAGGTCTTTCACCTTCTTGTCCTTTTCTCCCCACAGCTTATCATTGTTTGTGTGTTTTTCAATGCAGTTTGCATTCAGCGTTGTTTTGTATTCATTTCAGGAGTCCAGCGTAGTCGTTATATGATTGTACTAGAGGCCCGGTGCACAAAAATTTGTGCACTCGGGTGGTCCCTCAGCCCAGCCTGTGCCTTCTCGCAGTCTGGGGACCCTCGCGGGCCCCTTCCACTGGCTGCTGGCACCAATTTTCCTCTGGCTCACGGAACCCAGGCCTTCGCTCTTCCCCGGGAGGGGCTGGCGTGGCGGGCTCAGCGCTTAGCTCTGCATCGGCCTCACGGGCCCCAGAGGCGGAGCCAGCGCAGCATGCTCAGCGCTTAGATCTGCGCCAGGGGCTGAGCAAGCACAGCGGACTCAGTGCTTAGCTCTGCACCAGTGGATGAGCCGGCGCAGCAGGCACAGCACTTAGCTCTGCGCCGGCCTAACGGGCCCAGGTGGCAGGGACTGCACAGTGTGTTCTGCGCTAAGCTCTGTGCCTGCCAAGCGAGCCCCAGGAGCTGGGCCGGTGCGGCAGGTGAGGGGCTTAGCTCTTTTCGGGCTTTGCTCTTCGGTTGCCACACCGGCCTTCGCTCGCTGCATCTGCCCAGGACCAGCAGGCTTCGCTCGTAGCTTGGCACCTACATATGCAAATTAGCCGCCATGTTTGTTGGTGGTTAATTTGCATATCACCCTGATTAGCCAATGGGAAGTGTAGCGAATGTACGGTCAATTAACCTTTTTGTCTTTTATTAGATAGGATGCTCTCCACAGTGTGCCCCTGGCATCACACCTAACCACCCACTCACCCGACACCTCTTTTTGTGTTCGTACTTGGCTTAAGTCCGAGCGGGCCACACATAAAAGGACTTCAGACCTTCTGCTTATCTTTCTTTTTCTACCTTGGGGTCTCAACGCTGCTCAGAAGAGAGGAATATCAGTGAAGGCTGGGATATACCTTGGGTTTTGTGTCATTAAACAAGATGTCGGTGAAGATCTCTGAACAAGGTGATGGCGTTAACCTAACAATTATTGCTTCCCGGATGCCACCTGATCATAGCCTGCTGCCCCCTTTGGCCTATCTTTTCAGCTCACTACTTTCTCTTCCCTCTCTTATCTATTGTATTCTACCTGAGGCTGGTATTCAAAATAGTTGACAATGGTACTGGCCAATCAGAATGGACACGGTTATAAAAGCCAGTCCAGCCCTACCAGTGCCTCGCAGTTGAATATCAACACTGCAATTGCTTACAATTTCCCATATTCACCAAGTTGACTCACAGCTCCAGGACTTTGTCCTTACTGTTTCCTTTGCTACCTCATCAAACCCCCCATTTTCACAAAGCTAACCTCTATTCATCATCTCAACTCAGATATCTACTCCCTGAAAACACCAAATTCATTTAGGTAGTTTGGCCTTCCTTTAGTTTTTTGCTCTTATACCTGAGACACAGTGCCTACTGAGTTGTATTGAATTATTTACATGTCTCTCTCCTTCTAGACAATGATCCTAGATGGAACTAAGCACAGAGTTTGAAAGTCATGTTGGATGGGGTTCTGACAGCCAAGAAAATCAGTTGGGAAAGAGGGGGGAGGTGGCAGTAATAGGCCTTGATTAGAAAGACTTGGGGAAGACAAGGTAGCAAGGAGAGAACTCCAAAAGCAGGACATACTCTTAAATTGTTCCTCTCTTTCCCCCTCCAGCTGCCAATATGTCAACAACCTTCCACTGTCCAACCTGTTTAGCTTTTGGGGCCTGTTCGAGTGCACCTTCTCTTCCCTGTCCCATTGATACAACTCAATGCTATCAAGGAAAACTTCGGGTTGCTGGAGGTAAACTGAACATCTGATGGATTCAGAGACTGGAAAACTAGACATCTGAGTGGATCCCAAGAGGTTCTGACACTCAGGGATCCAGGAATGAGGAGGGACTGGATTCCTCTCTGGTTTTCTAAAACATCTGTGTGTCTCCCCATCCTTCCTTGTTCCATAGGAGACATCGACTCAACTTTGGAGGTCAAAGGCTGTACATCTGTACCTCACTGTGGGCTAATGTCTGGGATGTTCACAAGTGGACCCATGTGGGTAAAGGAAATGTGTCCATACCAATCTCTCATTCAATCCTGAAAGGTTGAAAATGGGGCCACCACCTGGCTTCCCATTTCAGTTGGGAAGTTTGGGCTATTGCTGCTGCAATTGCTATAATGGCTTGACAATGTTCCTGGGGAGACATCTGTGTGGAGTCACAGGACAACTCTTTGGACTGGAAGCCTCTGAATGCTGGTCATGAGTTGATGAGCATGTGGAGAATTGAAGAACAGAAGGTTCCTATGGATGTGTTTGACATTTTTAATAAAGTTTCTGCTCTGCTTTGTATGTGCCCCCAGACTCAAAGTCAATTTTAGTGCTGAGAGAGCCTTTAAATTTATCTCTTCTAACCCACAACTTTGGCAGAAAGGGAATCACAGATCTGGAAAACTTGAACGAGTTTCACACATTACATAGCTATGGGCAGAGCTAAGACCAGAGCTGTGATATTTTGACCTAAGTCTGGTTTTCCTTTCGCTTAATAGGCTACCTTCTCTTGCGAGCTGAACAAGAGACTAGCATTGATCTCCTCTGGAGCACTCCCAGCCCAATCTTAATGCCCAAGTAGGCTGTTTGGGGTTCTAGTATTTTTCTGGGAGGTATGGAAGAATGAGAAAAATCAGACTCTAAATCCTTCAATTATCATTGGCCCCATTTCCCTATGTCCTATCTGTTCCTTGCCCACTTTACATAATTCCATTCCTTATCTGCCGCCTAATTAATGCCTCTTCAGTGGACAGAGAAAATTTTGGAGAGAGCTGGGCCTGTAGCTTTGGGGAGGGGTGATATTTTTAGATTCTCATGCTTATTTATTTACTTACTTACTAGAGGCCCAGTGCAGGAAATTCTTGCATGGGGGATGGATGCCCTCAGCCCAGCCTGTGCACTCTCGCAATCTGGGATCCCTCAGGGGATTTCCAACTGTCATCCTAAACCAGCAGTCGGACATCCCTCTCACAATCCAGGACAGCTGGCTCCTAACCGCTCTCCGGGCTGCCTTCCTGATTGCCCCTAACCACTCTGCCTGCCTGCCTATTCAATGCATGTCAAAGTGACCAGTATTTCCACCGTTCGGTCAATAAACGCCCCCCCACCCCGCCAGCCTGATCACCCCTCACTGCCTCTGCATGCGGCCTGATTGCCCCTAACTGCCCTCCCTGGTGACCTGGTCACCCCTATGTGCCCCCCCCTGCATATTACCCATTTATTATATAGGATTACTCAAGAATACATAAACTATCTTGTTGTAAAAGACTTTGAGCTCTTTACTGCATTTCCTGCAAGAATAAGATCATTCTCAGCAATCGTACTATCACCTTTCCAGAAAATATTGACAGCATTCCGAACGGATGCAAAGGCACCCTGCAGATGGACTTCAAACACATCAACATAGAACTCAGTTTCCCTGGAAAGAAAAGAGGTTCTGGGTTGACAAATGGTGGGGATGTAGGAATTGGCCACCATTCATAATTATATCTGCATCATGTACAGAACATGATCAAGGGTCTTACACTGGGCTTTCATTACAAGACTAGAGGCCTGGTGCATGAAATTTGTGCACGGGGGATCCCCTCAGTCAAGCCTGCACCCTCTCCAATCTGGGACCCCTTGGGGGATGTCCGACTGCCGTTTTAGACCCAGTCCTGGGGATCGGCTTAAACCAGCAGTTGGACATCCCTCTCACAATCCTGGACCACTGGCTCCTAATCGCTCACCTGCCTGAATGCCTAATTGCCCCTAACTGCACCCCCGCCGACAGCCTAATCGCCCCTCACTGCCTCTGTGTGCCAGCCTGGTCATCCCTAACTGCCTCAAGCTGCTGGCCAGGTCACGCCCACCTGCCCCCTCCATGCCAGCTAGGTCATCCCTTACTGCCTCCCCTGCTGGCATGGTTGTCCCCAACTGCCCCCCCCACCAGCCTAGTC